ATTTTGCTTCTCAGGCTTTTCTATTAGGAATTGCTTAATTATGTCCCATGATGGGTCTCTATGTCAAATGCCTCCCTTTTCCTGTTTTTAGGGCTGTGTTTGCAAAATTAAGCTGTTTCAAGATTGTGTTAGGCCAGTTGTTTAGCCAAAGTGAGCTAATTTCAGTGAATCATTACAGGAAAATTACCTGGTGTCATGGTACATAGTAGGTGTTTAATAAGTGTTGAGCCCTACAGTTGCTAACCAGCCTAAATTGGCTGAGCTTATGCTGTTAAAATGCAGCCTGCTAATTCTTAGAGCAAATATTTTTCTTGGTCAGGATTTTTGTCTAGTTGGAAAAGAACAGTATCAGCAAAATGGCTTTAAACATGTCCTAATGTCATGAGTTTGTCGTCCAAGGCTCTACCCAGCATGGGTGCAGGGCTACCAGGGTTTGTTTGTGTTGTTCTGAGCTGCTGCTTCAGAGGCCCTATCTGCCTTGTGTCAAAGTTTAAAGTTTCAAAGTTCCACCCATCTGTGTGGGCACAGAGTGATAGTAATGATAAGTCGGTTGGAGTGGCCTAGCGGTGATGTCATGGGGATTAAGGCATGTTATCTGTAATAACAATACACCCCCACTGCTGCGTACTGCAGCACACAGCACCAGTCTTGGGCTGGGCATGATTCTCAGAGCTGATTTTAGAGTCAAATGAGGGCAGGCAATTATCATGTTCTTTAACTATAATCAGCCTAACAGGATACAGGTAGCCACAAAACGTAGTTATTTAAAACAGTAACAAAATCACTTCAAAAAGGGTAATAATCTGGAAGTCTCTTTCTGCAGCATCTAGTTCAAGCAGTCCAAGTGTAGAGAAGACAGGGAAGATTTATTTTGTAGCCTCCTCAATGGCAATAGTATCAGGAAAGCCTTCTTCTGAAATAAAGGAATGGGGACAAGGGGAGGGACAGCATTAGGACAAATACCTAATGTACACCGGGCTTTAAACCTAGATGACGAGATGATAGGTATATCAAATCAGCATGGCACATGTATTCTTATGTAACAAGCCTGCATGTTCTGCACATGTATCCTAGAACTTAAAGTAATAGTTAAAAAATAAATAAATAAAAGACAGGAACGTTGGCCTGGGGGCTGCCCCACAGCAATTTACTTTAGCCCCAACATGTAAACTAGAGCCTTTGAAAAGGATCCAAGGAGAACCCTGAGCTTCCTGCCATCTGTCTGTCAGAGTAGTTATTATGAAAAGAGGCATTCACAAGTACAGCCAACTGGTCCACTCTGGCTTGGTGACTCCTCGTCAACCCTTCAGCTTGTGTTGAAAGTTGATTCTGGACATTGGTTATGAGACCCTATCTTTGACAGCATTTCCTGTGACGTGCCAATCAGACCCTAAGCTGGGGAACAGGTCTGAAGTCTAAGCATTTCTTAGAATCTGTCAGAGCCTGCTTCTGAGCAGAAGGCAAAAGGAGGTGGATTCAGCTTGGCCCCCTACTAAATCTGGCTCTTTCACCAATGATCTATGTGAACTTGGGCATATTTATTTAGGCTGGCTAAGACTTGGTTTTCCCCCTGTAAAATGGAGATGATTGTAATCTATCTTATAGGGATGTGTTTAGAGGAGTACCTGGCTTATGGTTGCTAAACAGAGTTCAGTAGACATCAGCTGTGGTTATCATCGCCCTCGGCTGAGAAGCCCAGGGACAGAAGTTCCTGCATCATCTCTTGGAAACACCAGCACAGCTTCTGAGGGTGTCCTTGTATTGCAGTAGAAAGCATGGATTTTACTCTGCATTGTCTGGGCCAATGAGCTAAGAAAACCAGGAGGCTTGTTCATCTTTCAGCCAGCTGGGAATGCTTGTGTCAATTCCCATTGTATTAAACACCAGTCCATTAGTAGTAGTGGCAATGAAAAGATACTAACAGTTATAATAGCACCTATTGCCTGTCTCTTGTTGAATACTTCCTATATACCAGGCACTGGGCTGAATGCAATACAGAGATAAGTGTCTTTAACCCTGTGACCATCCTATAAGGTAGCCATTATTCTCACCATTTCACAGATAGGAAACTGAGGCACCAACAGGGTTAAAAGGACATTACTATAAGTGGATGAGTTAGGATTTGAGCTCAGGTATCACTGACTTCAGAGGTGGCATTTGCACTATGTCACACTGCCTTCCCTTGAGCCTTTGGGAACAGTGCAGCTTTAAGAGCCCAAGTCTAACAAAGAATAAAATCAGTCCTCTGTTGTAAGGTTCTTAACAAGGCTAACACACTTAGAGCATATTTTAGTGTACTTCTACACAGCTAGCTGTTTAGACTCAGAATGTTTCTGTAGTTGTTTAATAAGTCAGGAAACAAAGCCTTTGAAGAGAATCAGCAACCTGTTCAAGAATGCACCCTGAATATACAGCAGGACCAACTTTGAAACCACGGCCGTCCTGCATCCATGGCTGTGAGACCCCGAGCACATACATGTTCCTGTGAACATGCCTCTCGCCTGGCTCTGGCACGTGTTTTACCTGTAGACACAGCGTTGGGCAGTGGGAAAAGGATAAGTCAATACCAATTCTTGCCAAATGCTAGAAAGCCCTTGCAGGGGTACCTGTAGAAATCTCCTGAGTCAGGATGGAGATGGTGGCATGGCAGGCCAGTCAGGGACCAATTAGAGTTGTCCATTGTGGTCTGCAGCTGATTCTGTGACATATCCTGGGTTAATGCTGGGGCTGTGTCAATGGTGAGAGCATTTCTGTGAGAAGCTGGTGTGGAGGCATCCCCAAGCCTAATTCTTGGCTGCTTTATGATCTTCATTTATGTTTGTATAAACAAAGCTTCAAAGCTTTTTGCTTGCGTCTCTGTAAGGAAAAATGCCAGAGGACAGTGAAGAAATATTCTGGTGAAGAACAGACCTAGAGGACTGGCTACGTGACCACGGCTATCCCCTTGGGCTTTACTGCCAGTGTGCTGCTGGTTAGGAGCTGGTTTTCATCTTCCATTTAGTCAAATGTGGCTGGTTTTCGGCTTGGTGTCCACAGATGACTTTGTTTAATCCATTTATCAGTAATGTCCATAACTTACTGTCCAGAAAAGGAGGCCCCCACCTCACATTTTGCAGTTGACCCCTTTGTTCTCAGCTGTGTCATCATCTATTTAACATTCATGCAATCAGGCAATCATCTATGCATTCACCCTTTGAAAACTGAACGCCTTCTGTATGCTGGGTGCTGCACTAGGTGCTAGAGGTGGGTGTGAAACACAGCCAACACCAATCCTGCTGCATGGAGCTTTCACATTCAGAGGTCTTTCCAAGCACAGCAGTAAGTGCACTCAACATTAAGCGTTGTACTATTCTAGAAAGGAATTCCTGTGGGGAGAATTTCATCCAGTCATGTAGAAGAACATGTATTAAAGTGTTTAAAATATCATCTGGCCATTGTTATGTAACTCAGGCAGGACTTTAAGTGTCTGTCCTTTGGGCTGCTAGGCATGGTGGGAGGGGATGCCGAAGGCAAGGGTGGGAATGCAAGACTCCTTTAGCTATAACTTTCAAGTATGGGATAAGGTGCTCATGCCATTTAAATACCGGAACCTGTGCAGGGACAAACCTGTGCCCCCGAAGGTTTGCTGAAAATGAACTGACAAAGGGTAGATTAATAGGAAAAAAAGGCATACAAAATTTATTTTAATATGGACAACATGGGGCAATCATAGCAGAATAGTTACCCAGTAACCCAATAGGCTTAAACACCCTTCTTCACAGAGGGAGGAGAGAATGGGAAATATGGCTACTTGAGGGATAATACATGATTTTTGTGGGGGAAGCGATTGGGCCTGCTGCTCAGACAATGGTTAGCAAATAATTTCATTGGAAATGGAACTGGATGGAGAGCTGACAGTGGGTTGGGGGAAGATGTTTGTCTGGGCTCTAGGTGCAGTGTTTAATTTTCAGTCTCTTCCACTGTGATATGAGTTTTAATCTTCACTGGTGAATGAAATGTCAGGAAAGGCCATTGTATTCCGCTTTGCCAGTCTGGGTTTTTAGGTAGATAAGGGAACTTCAGAGAACAAGCTCATCCTGTGGTTAGGGAGAGACAGAGCATTAAGAGACTGTGGATGTGAGGGAGTCAGGGAGGAAGCTCGGAGAGACCTTCAGACTGCGTCATGGCAAAGCACCATATTTTGGAGTAATGGGTTCCAACACATGGAGTTGGGTTTCTGGGTCCCAACACATGCTACATACAGAAATTGCCATTCACCTTTTCTTTGTAAAATCGTTGATGAGGAATTAAAATATAGTGAAGAATGTTAAAGTAAAACATTTTTGCAACTGAATAAAGGTCATAATTGGGATGAAAGCTATACTTCTATCTCCAATGTAGAAAAAAAATGTGTACTTTGTTTTGGTTCCATAAGCTATGCTGTTTTCAAAATAATACACATTCACTCTTATGGTGGTGACAATAAGTAGTAGTGATGGCAATTAGTGAGCCAGCTGGTTTCCCACACATTGTCAATGCATAGGGCTTATCTTGGTCCAGACCTGTTTCCTGGTGCTTGAGAAACACAGAATTCTGCCATTTTTTATCATCCCAAAGTGGCTCTTCTTAGTTCTCCTCCACCCTGGAGACATGGCCCAAATAAATTCCATCCGAAGCTTGGAATCCAGTTCGGAATAGCACGTTCCCTTTGGAATATCTTGCTCAATGCAGACCATCCTTCTTCAGACCAAATGACTGTTTCATCAAGTTACATGGATCCTCATACCCCTCTACCCTTCCCAATACCTTCATTCTCTTTGTTCTTCAAATTCCAAGTGATAAGATGTGCCTCCAGCCCTGGTCTTTGCTGGGCTCCTTGTTCATCATCCATGTTAGGTCTCCATGGTGTTTGTCACTGTTGCACTTGGTGATAGTGACTGCTCACCTTGTAGTACATAGCATCATGTGGCCCCCATGTTTCCTCATTTAGTGAAGCTCCCTTCCATTTTTTTTTCCTGTAGAATTACCCTTTATGACTACCAAGCCATGTGTAGAGCCAACAAGGAAAGCAGCGATGGTGCCCATGGCCTCCTGGATGTAAGTACTATGCTGTCACCCAGAAAAACAACTGCACATTTCTGTCTTTCTCCCTATGTGAGTGTTATCTTCCTCTCTGGAGTAATCAAGTTTATCTTTTTGCAAAATCATGAACATCTTGACTTTACTCATTAAAAAAACAAAAAACAAAAAAAACACTTCAGATCAGGCACGGTGGCTCACGCCTGTAATCCCAGCACTTTGGGAGGCCAAAGGTGACCGGATCACTTGGGTCAGGAGCTCGAGACCAGCCTGGCCGACATGCTGAAACCCCGTCTCTACTAAAAGTACAAAACTTAGCCAGGCATGGTGGTGTGCACCTATAATCTCAGCTACTTAGGAGGCTGAGGCAGGATAACTGCTTGAACCCAAGAGGCGGAGGTTGCAGTGAACCGAGATCATGCCACTACACTCCAGCCTGGGCAACAAAGTGAGACTCCCTCTCAAAAAAACAAAAATAGAATAAAAAACACTGCTGTTTCAATTCAATTCAAATCCAGTGTTTATATGAATGGAAAACAGGTCTAAAGTCTTTGATGGGTTGATGCAGCAGCCTCCTTTTGATGGATAGAAAAAGGGAGAAGTTCTGTTAATTCTCTCATTTGTATATAAAAGAACTTGGTTTTGTTCAACAGAACTTTTCCTTTGAGTTTGTAATAGAATTGTGAGCTTGTGCCCAAGTCCCATTTGGATCACAGATGTTCCCACTCCGCTAATCATCCCACCGTGTTTCAGCATCATTTTCCCTGGAGCTGATTCCTTGCTGATGTCACAGATCAATCAGCACAGCTACTGTACCACTAAAAACTGGTTTTCATATGGCCAGAAATTAACAGTTATCATTAATTTACTCCCAAATTAAAAATACAATTTACAATGCATAGACAATGTAAATGTGGTCAGCAATACCTAAAAACACAGAAAAAAAAAAACCAGATATAGTGTACCTCTAGATAGCCTGTCATACGCATTTAAATATAACCCTTACAATGTTACTGTTTTGTAAATACCAAAAATTAACCTAAAATTTGGTTTGAAACACAACATTTAAAAGCCATTTTGGTTTTAAAATATATGCACTTTCTAATTTACAGATGTAAGATCTCACAAGAGGATTATTTAAAAACCAAATAATTAACACGGTTCTCCTACACTGAGGGAGCAAGAAATGATTCAGAGCTGGCAAATTACTGAGAGGCAACTAAAGAGTTGAATTTTTGAAAAACAGCTTTTTAGTGAGACGCACTATGTCTTTCTAAACCCAACTCCCCTAACCTTAGCAAGAATGTTTCCAGACACAAAACATTCCTAAGATATGTTTTCATCATTAGGTTTAAAAGCTCAGTGGCTTTACGCTTTTGAATGGAAATGTGCATGTAAAATTTTTAATGTCGTATTTGCATAATCCCTTCATTTACTCATATATTGAGTCAGTGCCTGGCGCAGAATGCCTTAGTGCCTTCCCCTGGCCTCAGAATGAGCTGCTCCTGCCACTTCCCACTTTCCCCCAAACCTCTAAAGCTTCCTGAATCCTTGTATTCATTCTCTCCTACCCCTGACCCGCACTACCCATCCCAGCAGGTACAAGGACGCAACATTGTACCATGGTCTGACTCTCCCAGTCTTTTTGAAAGCAAGATGATTATTTTTCAAGCCATGAAATGTAATGGCAAAACCGCAGGACTGCAAAGTGTGGTTTCGGGAAACTGTGAAAAGTTCACATCCTTATCTGACCCTATTCCTGGGGGCTCAGAATCCTGTGATGCAAGGAACGAGGTGGAAGCACTCAGTCAAATCAGAGCAAGAGATACCCCAAGTCTGCAATCTGGGTGGGCTGGGAAGAGCTCACTTTTGTTGTTGTTCTGCTCATTTACTCTCTGGCCAGATTGGGAAAGTTTTGAGAATGATTGGGGGCATATAAATTTGTTCTTGTTTCATTTAAAACTGGAGAATTCCTCCATTCTCAGTTCTAGTTCTTATAATTAAAATGCTCAGAAGGTGGGATTAGGCAGCTGTAGCTGCAGAAGCCAGGATTTGGCATGCATTTCAGTTCTCTGATATCTAAAGGCAACCACAAAAGGTTCTGGGATTCTCCTAGACCTGACATCTGGAGCCCAGAGCCCAGGATTTGCCAGTGTCATTGCTCGTCTCTCAAGTCCGCCCACCATTCACATAACTGGCATACCTAGGTACAAAGAATCAACTGAGGGGAAGACTTGGTATTTTCTAGGATTCAGGAAATCGAATTATCCACACAGGAAATATCACAGAGTAAACAATCTAACTGCTTTTTTTTAATTAAAATATTCTGAAATAAAGATTAGGCTTTCAATGCCTTCTTTTATAGAGTGAAGGGGATTTTCAGCAAGGATAAAATCACATGTTTATATGGTTATCATTTTTTTCAAGTCCAAATATGTAAGTGTGAGAAAAGGCAGCTTAAATCCTGCATAATTCATGGAAGGCATTAAAATCAGGTGTATGCAATTTTTGCTTATTTTAATAAACGACACACCGTGGTGGAGAACAGGGAATCACCTTTCCAAGAGGCTCCCCTATGAATTACCATTTGAAATTAGTTATATGATTCCAGCCCCCTCAGCATTAAGCTTCAAAATATTAGCCCCTAGAGGGTAAAGTTTTAAGCAACCGGTGCTGAACTTCCTTTTTCCTCCCACTGATAACCCTTGTATTAGATCAGGTTTATTTTACTTATAAATCACATCTCACTAGAGTAGAGTTCAAAGTTTTAAAATGTTAGTTTTAGGATACAGTATCCAATAATTTTCTTCCCGTAGCTAGAACGCCACTGTTTTTTAACATGATATCAATCTCTCTAGAAGAATAACATTGTCCTGAAGTAAAGCCCTAAATTAAACTACAGATTTTATGTGCAGTGTATTGTTTTTAACTAACCGAATTCTTCTTTTCAGCCTTACCATGCCTTCCTCTCTGCAGTAAAATGGATAATGACGGAACTTGTCTTGTAAGTAAAATTTGCTGCATTTTTTGAAAAGTGTTAATATTTCCCTTTTTGTATCATAAAGTGAATTAAGAGATTGTGAGTTATACTTTCAATAGCCATTAAATTCCTAGTTCTCTGAGATAACCTCATTGAACATCTCAAAATATTGAACACAGAGACGAAAAAAATGATCTTTTAGTAAGTGATTCATGATCACCCCTTATGCTGTTATGTCACTGTTTAGCAGACTAAAGGTTTGCAGTACACAACCAAATTTACTTATTGTGGTTACTGTTCAATTTTGCATGGATGTCTGGCTGCTTTTAATGCCGCCTGGGTGGGCTGTGGTCAGAAGAACACACTGCTGTGACTGTCCACCATGCTACTTGGGCTGTCTTGGCCTGTGCAGGCATGGGTACCTGTGAGATTGTCAGCTAGGGCTAGGGGCTTTCTCAGGTGTGACTTAACTGTTTATTCTGTCAAACTATAGTCTTGTTCGGAGGTGTTTGTTGCGTCTATAACCTAGGTAACATGAAATGGCACAAAGATGAAACTCTTAACTTTCAGACTAGATATTGGACACATTACAGAAACAATTTGATGAATAGTCACTGTCCTCTTAATTTAATGTAACCTATATTAATTTAAGAATGTTTGTGAATTCAAATGGGAAGTAAATTCTCCATACACACATGAGGCAGAGGCAGCACATTAACAGATAATACTGGGATTTTGATTGAGAGAGAGCTGCTAGGAAAAGTAGCCATAAGCCTGAAAAACAAACGACTGAATTTTGATCTCTCCTCATCCATTTGGAGGATAATTTATATTATTTTCGTATTCTTTATCAGACATTGAGAAATGTTGATTTTATGAAGTTGCATTATGACATAATTTCATAAAGAGAAGTCTATTCCACCTCCCTACACACACACACACACACACACACACACACACACACACACACACACGGAGGGGGCTGAAACAAGTTCGAGTCACAGTATTCATTTTGAAAGCATCTTTTATTACTACAGATCATGGTCTTGGTAGAAGAGAATATTCCATTTGTACTTCTGAACTAAGGGAGGAGAACTTCTTTAGAAAATGGCTTTTTACTGTGGAATCAAATTAGATTATATCAGGACTGAATAACTGGTCAACAATAACTGGAAAAGTATTTCAGCCTATACAGCAGATTATCCCTCATCTAGGAATCTTTGAGTCTAGGTAAACCTGACTTTGGGGATGAAATCGCCTTTCACAAGAAAGATAAAGCCCAGTAAAACTTCAGTGGTAACTCAGCCAAATGTGTTGATGTCTCCAAATTGTGATGTTGTTCCTTCAAATGAGGTAAACGATGCTAAAGAATACAGAATGTCACTGTTCTGTGATATGGGCATGGATGGCGAAGTAACACTGGGTTTTTCCACAATCTGTTTAGGTTCCTGGTGGAATTTAACCTCTGCAGTTGGTGGCACTCCGATATGACAGCTAAAGGTGAGCAGCAACTGGTTTCTGTTTCTCAGCTTGGAGGGATAAGTGCTGGGTTCACTGGCTACTTTTCATTAGGGATGTGCTGGCTTACAGAAAATGCCCCAGAACAAAGTGGTGATTTTTCAGCTCTCTCAGTAAAAAGCCACCCTTTGTTGTGTTAAGCACTGTGCTATCCAGTCTGACACAGAATTCCACAGGCTTTCATGTTGAATGTACATCTTGAGCTGTTTCCTTAACTAAGGCTTTGAGGTCATACATTGCACAGGTAAACTCTTCAGAAAGCTCATGGGCAATGCTGAAATAGAAAGGAGACAGACACATTGCCTATGTCTCAGGCTAAATGAATGATTAGCCGTTCTGTTTTTGTTTTCACAGTTACCATCGTAGAACATAAATCTGATCACATTACTCTCCCTTCTCAGATACCTTAAGTGATTTGAAGAGGGTGTAATTGGTAGAGACTCTTAGAGGCATGGTTTGTGGCATTAGATCCGTATAGGTTTCAGTCCCAGCTCAGAGGTTAGCCTTGGGCGTGTCAGTTGATCTGTCTCCAAGGCTCAGTTTCCCTATGCTAAGCACAATGGGAGAAGTAATATCTGTCTCTTGGGGGGGGGGGGGAGAGAGAGAGAGAGAGAGAGAGAGAGAGGGAGGGAGTGAGTGTGTGTGTGTTTAATGCTATGAGAAATTATGTTACATGCTGACCACAGTGACTGGACCATCATAAGTCCTCAAAAATTAGTAGCAGTACTGCATGCTCTCACATATAAGTGGGAGCTAAACACTGAGAACACTTGGACACAAACAAGGGAACAACACACACTGGGGCCTACTTGAGGGTGGAGAGTGGGGGTGGGAGGAGGATGAGGATGGAAAAACTACCTATTGGGTACTATGCTCACTACCAGGATGATGAAATAATCTGTATACCAAACCCTGGAGACATGCAATTGACCCATTTAAAAAAGCTGCACATGTACCCTCCACACCTAAAATAAAAGTTGGAGAGAAAATAAATAAAAGAAACAGTATCTGTAATTATAACCGTGATGACACTGTGACCATGACAGTGATGATGATCACCTACAAATCCAGTGATCCTTCATGAACACTGGCTACAGCCGCCTGCCCCAGGCCTGCCCAGTCACATGCTATTTCTCAGATACACTCTTTCTTTGCTTCCTTCATTCATTCATGGTCTTTTTCCTACCGGGGAGGCCAGGGACTAGTAGGCTATTACCATTCTTGTTATTTCTAACTATCTTCTTTAAAAAAAGAGATTAATTAGTAATGTATCAGCATTTCCCCAGGTGCTGGATCTATTTCAATCTAACACTCCTTTTCCTTTCCCTTAAGATCCCAGTCTGTTGGCTGGGCGTAGTAGCTCAAGCCTGTAATCCCAGCACTTAGGGAGGCTGAGGCGGGTGGATCACCTGAGGTCTGGAGTTCAAGACCAGCCTGACCAACATGGTGAACCCCTCTCTCAACTAAAAATACAAAAAATTTATCTGGGTGTGGTGGCATGCACCTGTAATCCCAGCTACTTTGGGAGGCTGAGGGAGGAGAATCGCTTGAACCTGGGAGGCGGAGGTTGCAGTGAGCCAAGATCGCACCACTGCACTTTTGGTGCTCCAGCCTGGGCGACAAGAGCTAAACTCTATCTCAAAAAAATAAAAATAAAAAAATTAAAAATCCCAGTCTGTGAGGATTTCCTCAGCTCCCTCAGGCAGAATGAACATTTTCTTCTTGTTTCTGCCCCAGTCAGGTCATGTGTTATCCCATCTCTTCTTTGCCATTATTGCCTCACTGTGTGTTTTACGCTAACCTAGGATTTATTGATGGTAGGAGCTGTGTCTTAACCATTGTTCTCTCTTAATACCTAACTCATGCTGAGCATACAGTAGGTGCTTTATCTTTGCTGATTCAATACCCTAACAAATCTTTCTGGTGCTAGGCGTGACCATTAGAGTCGCTGTAGTCATAGCTTTGTAACTTACAAATAGACTCATTTTGCCTGAATCCAGAAACTGTCTGGTTTCTGGTTAGAGCATGATATGGAGCAGCATCTGCTGAGTGCCGCTCCTGCTGATGCCTGCATAGCTTGCTCTCTGATGACTGGGAACCTAATCCATGCTTGTCCAGGCTTGGCTCTGCCCTGGGAGGCTGACAGCCCAGTGGAGCAGGGTCCCTGTGCTCTCCTTTCATCTACACACACACACATTGTCCTGGTGACCCCCCGGGCTTGGACCCAATTCTTGCTCCTCCCTGCTGGATTGGGTTCTGAGTGACAGTGAATGCCCAAATCCCACTTATAGAAATTCAGCCTGAGGACAAAACCTGGATGGAAACAAAGGTTTCTATGATACGATGATCATCACCAGGGAATTTATAATTGCAAATACTGGTAACTTTTTAAATGTCTAAGAATTAGGCCATTTTAAGATAAAATTACAACCCAGAAATCACTGTGTTTCTGAAAACTCTTTGATGAAATTTAAAAATGCTTATAACAAAACAAGAGAAAACCCAAGATACAAAACTGTATATATACAAAAACACATAAAATGGTGGGAAGAAGGAGATGTGGAGCTAATTAGGGTCAGCAGTTGGTATGAAAAATAAGGAGTCGATAAACAGACACCAAAATATGAGTTAGGAAAAGACTACTGTCATGTCCCCAAAAGGAAATCTTACCTGTAGTGTCAACTTGCTTTTACTAAAATTGCACATGATTTCCAAAAAGAAAGATGAAGAGGAACCTATGAAATGGGCACTTGGTTATCTTTTACCATTTGCTTTTCTTATTTGACTCTTCCACAGTTTTACTAATAGGAGTGAAAAAAAAGATTAAGAAAATCAATAGAGGCCAAGAAAATGGGTTGCAAGTTGACTAAATGGCCGCTCTCTCTGCGGCACCAGTGATCTGGAGACAAATCCCCTCTTCCTCCAAATCAGGCTGTGAGCTCTCGGAGGCGGAGCAGCATTGGAACCTAGTGACTAGGAACCCTGGGTAGCCTTTCTCTGCTGCTTGATTCTTGCTTGCTGTGAGGTTCTGGGAAAGTCATTTGGTCTCTCTGGACTTTGGTTTCATTTGTCAACAGAGGAAACAATAGATAAAACGTGGCTGTGAGAGGTGAACCCAGCAATGCCTCCCAAGACCATGTGCCAGTCTTCCCTGCGTGGCGGATTTTAGGCACTCAGGTTTTAGGTGGTGGTGTTTTTTTTTACCATTTGATTATTTCTTAGGAGTGTTCACAGGGCTGAGGGCAGTAGGTGTGTTGTTTTCAGTGGTTTACTTTTTGGCGTTCTTCATACCGAGGGAAGACGTTCCCTTCTCTTCACGTCTGCATTCACTCCCACCTCCCTCATCCTCACCTTGACCTGTTTCCCTTCTTCGTGACCTGCCCCCACAGACATCTAGACATACTCTTATTTTGGTCCTACAGATTCTAGAGTTTTTATTGCATGCCAGTCACTGTGATCTTTCCCTAGGACAGTGGTATTTCAAATGGGGACAGTTTTGCCTCCCAGGGGAATGACTGGAGACATTTTTGCTGTCATAGCATGGGGGAGGAGGGTTCTTATTAGAATCTGGCAGGTAGAGGCCAGGTGTGCAGCTAAACATCCTGCCACAGAAAGGACAGCCCCCATCACAAAGAATTATCCCACTCAAAATATCAATAGTGCCACTGTTGAGAAACTCTGGCCTAGACCGAGGGGTGCAGAGTAGGGGACAGTGACTAAGGGAGCAAGGTACAATCTCTGCACCCCTGATGCTGAGAGACACTTGTGAAGGCTCCCATTCTGCAGTTTCCCCAACCCCACCCCAGCTGGACTAAAAGCCGTCAAATTTTTAGCTGAAAGGAATAATATGGTGTGTTAGTTCTCTCTTTTCTGTTTTATGGAGCTTTGTAAAAAGGACCCTTAATAGATAATTTCAGCATGTCCTCTGACTCCATTGCCAGACTGTGAGACCGCCTTTCCAAAGACTACAGAGAGACCGTGTCACATAATTGCATCACTGATGCATGGTGTGCTGAAGTGCAAGTGCCTTGCCATTTCCGGAGAGCTGGCACGTAGGTTGTCTTCAGATCTGTTCAGCGTACCTGAGGGGTGGGGACTGCTAGAATTTGCCACCAAGCCTCTCTCAAGTACCTAAGTCAGACAGCTAAGAGGCAGTGGAGTCAGAACTAAGTCAAGACCTCCCTCAGCTAATGATGACAGCGAGAGCCACAGCTACTGCACTGGAATTGTGGCATTCCAGCCAGCAGCCCCTCTGCTGGGCATCACTATGACTTTTTCCATTTTACGGATAAAAAAATGAAAGTAAGCAGAGGTGAATTCGCTCATCCACAGGATTGCTGTCATTGGGATGTCTTATTAAATGTAAATATAAATCCCAGACCCGGTGTGAGGAGGGAAATGTTTCAGGCACCATATGCTATTGACTTGCAAGGTTTCTTCATTCTAAATTTACCATTCCCTCACTAGATAAAGACTCTGAGCTAAGGCACATATCTTCGTTTTAGCTAAAAATGGAATCCATAATTACACTGTTTATCTGCTCCATTTCCTTAATGAAGGGGACTGTGGAAGCCCATTTCTGCTTGATTATCACAAAGGTATCATTTTGGTGAATTTGCACAAAGAGAACAGAGCTTGCTGGCACCCGGTTGTGAGTGGGGGTGCATTCACAAAAACAAAAGAAGAGGAAGGCTTTTCACATGGGAAATCTGTTCATTCCCAATTGTCTGCACATAATTACTGTGAACCCAAGTCAGTTATTCTCATCAGGGACATTTGTTGCTAAGGAAAAATTGAAGAAATTTAATTGTGCAGATGCTTCCTTGGATGCTTCATTGTGAGTGAGTGATAGGTCATGGTGACATTGGCGTAACTGGGATAGGAGGCACAGCAGTGTGGGCTCCAGGATATGAGGGGCCAGACTCACATCTGAGGACCCCATTACCCACTGCAGTGGGACCTTGGGCAAGTATCTTTGTTTCTGAGCTTTAGTTTCTTCATCTGCGCAATGGGACAGCAGCAAGGACTTGCTTATTCTGTGGTGATGAGGATTTTGCCCATGCTAAGGGCCTAGCATGTGTTTTGGCATGTAGTAAGTGCATAGTGAAGACTGATGGTGAAGGTGGTGGTGGTTTGCTGCATAAGTTGATGACTGCGATGAGTCACTCTCTGTGGGACCCATGGCAGGCTGTGTCTGCTTTTGGAACCTTTTTTTTCCTTCTGGAAAACAAAGGAATCAACCAAACCAAGCTCAGTGATCCTTGAATACCTAGTTTTGTAAGATGTGAGCTCTGAATGCCTAAGAGTAAATAGTATCCGACAGAGCCGGGCGCGGTGACTCATGCCTGTAATCCCAGCACTTAGGAGGCCGAGGTGGGCAGATCACTGAGGCCAGGAGTTCAAGACCAGCCTGATCAACATGGTAAAACCCCTGCCTCTGCTAAAAATACAAAAGATCTAACCAAGCATGGTGGTGCATGCCTGTAATCCCAGCTACTTGGGAGGCTGAGGCAGAAGAATTGTTGGGACCCAGGAGGCTGAGCTTGAGTGAGCTGAGATCACACCACTGTACTCCAGGCTGGGCGACAAGGCGAGATTCTGTCCGAAATTTTAGCAACAACAACAAAAACGGTATTCAATAAACTGCAAGCAGTCACAGTGATCGGTTTGAAATCCCATAGATAGTTAGTAGTCATGGCACATATATGTGGTGTTTTCCATAGCATTCTAGACAAAGTAAGGTCTAGCCATGTTATTTAAATTAAATGTGGCCATGGTTTTATACGATAATTCACGTTTCCCGAAAGCACATAAATCTTTCAGCCAATCTATAGTCATGCTGCACATAGACCCAATGGTTTATCACTGTATCGGCATGGAGTACCCTACAATTGCCAAAGGAAAAAGAATTCCATCTCCAGAAAGGATCAGAGCCAAATGAGTCTCACCCTTGAGAGTGCTGGACTCATTCCTTTTTTAACTGGGCCCAGACAGTTAGAATTAGAGATGGTGCAATTATCAGGCTTATTCAAATCACGTGTGCTGCCTATCTCAGCCTGACCCAGAGACCTTTCTTTTTTTTTTTTCCATTGGCCAAACTTCACAGAGCAGTTAAACGTATACATGCTGGAGCCAGACAGCCCAAGGTCAAATTCTGGTTCTGCCACATACTCAGTGGATGAATCTGGGCTATTTACTCTCGTCCTCTTTCCCCCATTCACCATCTGCAAAACAGATAACAACTGTTCATACCTCATAGTTTATTTTTTAATTTTGTCATGTTTTATCATTAAATAAATTAATACATACAAAGCAGGACAGCATCTGGAGCACAGCAATTTCTTCATAAATTTAGCTGTTATGCCATCATTAGGTTTTTATATTCCGTTTGCATGCTTGTGCCATGCCCACTTATGACCTAAGCTATTGTACACTTAAATTTTTATTTCAAGGGACTCACTTTTTGAAATTCAAATAATTTAAATATGAAAAGGAAGTTTTATAAACTGAAAACCAGAATGACTTGCCATACAGAGAAATCAGTTGTAAAAATGAGAACCATGAAAATAAAAAGTGTTACCAAATTGTAGCCAGATCCGATGAGCTTTGTGTTTGGCCTCTTCAGCCTGAATGGAGAGGAGAGCAAATGAAAGAAAGAAGTGAAAAAGACAGAAAGGTGGTAGAAACGCCCTACAACCAAACAAAGATGGCCTCCTTACAAAACAGAGGCACTGAGAAGATGAGAAGAGAATGATGTTCCCACCATGTGCCTCTCCTGTGTTGTCACTATTGGGCCTGGAGTGCCTAAAACTCACCTTACCCTCCGCCTGAAAGGCAAGAAGGAAATGTGTCATAAGGGACGGAGATTCTCACATTTTTGGGTCCATTTTATTCTATTTTATTTGTTTGGAAACACTATTCAGGAGGGTCATTCTTGTATTCAGCAGGCATTTAATGTTGCCTCCAATGGGCTAGCATCGTGGGGACAGAGGGACAGTGTCTGGAACCTGGTCTTTCTGGAGAATGACTACCAGCACCATACCATCAGTGGAGTCAGGAGTCAGAGAGGCAGCCATTTTCTTGCCTTTTCTACCAAAAAGTGACGGCTCAAAAAGCCTGACTCCGTGAAATAGCCCGAGTGCAGCAGGAGTCGTGGTGGCAGTAACGGCACACACTTGAGCAGCACTCACAGAGTGCCAGCTGCGGTCCATGTAATTCATTTGATTCTCAAACAAACACATGAGTTTCGTACTGCTATTGCCATTTTGCAGATGTGAACATTAAGGTGTAGAAAGGTTAAAAGCTCGTCTGCTGTCACACAGCAGTGGCAGGATTCACTGCCTGGAATTGGTGCTTTTAGCTACTACATAACTAGCCAGCTTCTGGCCTGTGGATGGTAACACTTGCTAATGACTAGCATTTCGTGAAGGCTGTGTGTATGCATGTAGGTGGGCAAACGTGTGCATGCTTCACTCTGTTTAGAGCTGTACATGCTTTTGTTCATGTATTCCTCAGAGTGATCCCGTGAGGTTACTCTAGGCATTTCCCCGTAATGTCCAGTTAAGTGACCAATTACTGAAAATTCTATATTCTGACTAAAAGGGCTGATGAAGAGTCTACTTCCTTTTGTTTTAAATAACAGAGATTACAGTGCATTGTTCTCCAACCCCAAATCCCCAACCAATTTCCTCGAAATAATTAAAGCTCAGTGAAAAGCCTACATAAAAGAAACCATCATGTTAGGATACTACAAATGCTTAGAATGGTTTCCTGATCACCCCACAACTGTTTGGTTGTTACCCAGCAGTTGTTTTGCGTGCAGTAGCACTGACGGCTCGCTTAGTGCAGCAGCAGCCCCCACGGGCAGTGGACAAAACATCTCCCCGTAGTTCTGCCCACCAGCCAGTTATATTTGGAATGTAGCATGAGACTTTGTCCACACATAGATTTGTTAAAATCCTACTGAGTTTTGAAATTGTAAATGTAAATAACATGTATATATATATATATATACATATATATATATATTTTTTTTTCCTACAAAAAACAATAACTGAAGGCTTTGTACAAAGTTTGGTATTGGAAGCCTGTAAGCATTCTCTTGGGGAAATGTTAGCACGTAGACCTCCTGGGAAGAGTACCTGTGCTACTAGCATTCCCATTTTATAGCTGAGAATACTGAGGATTAGCTAGAAGTAGCAGAGCAGGGAGTCATACTCCAAACTTCTTTTACTTCAGAGCCTTCACCCTTAACCACTAAGCTATAGTGTCTATCATTATTTTGATCATTTTAATATCACAATGGCTTCATTAGAATGTTACATTTATTTTTGTTGTTATTATCATTATTTGAAATTTACTTAACACTTGTTATGTTCCAGGTACTGTGCTAAGTACTCAACATACATTGTTTCATTTACTTCTCACATCAACCTCTGATAGAACATTATTATCCTCAATTTGCAAGTAAGAAAACTGAGACCTAGAGAGGTTTTGGATCTTGCCCACTGGACAATCAACTGCCAAGCCTTTACCGAGCACCTACTATGTGCTCATCCACATACCAGGGTTCTTGAGTGCTTTAAAATTGACATGTTATATTATTGGACAAAGAGCTTCATAATAGTAGGATTTGGTTCATGGCTGTGCTTCAAAGACATTACGTATTTTACTATTTCATATTTCAATTTTCTTTCTATAATAAAACCATGTAATTGTATCATGACCTTTGTCTCACCCTAAATAATATGGTATAACTTACATTTTATACATTTATTCATATATACATATGTGTCGTTGCTGTTTGAGTAAGTCTGAGGTCAGACACCCGGTGACTGATGTTGTCCCAGAAAGTAGAATTCTTGTGATGCATAAATGATAGCTGATGAAGCCAACACAACTGTTGGAGGAATTATAGCTTATAGAGTTGCTTGGCAGATGAAATCACTTGACTAATTAGAAAATAATGCATTATGCCGTGCCAGAAAAATCACAGAGCAGCAGAAGCTGTGTTCTGAGTTGCTGTGGGCTGCCAGTCACAGTATTGAGCCTGTGCCTAGCATTTTTTACCTTTTTTCCCCCCGCATTCCTACAGCCCAGAAATTGAAACAGACCCTGGAGCCTTGTGATACTGAATATCCAGCATTTGTCTCTGAGCGCACCATCAAGGAGACCACAGGGAATATTGCTTGTGAAGACTGCTCCAAGTAAGCCATCCCCCGACCCCCTAACCCACTACACCTTTCTGCTCAGCACAGAACTTTCCCCATAGGTCTGTGTGACTGGCAAGCAGTTACACCAATGGAAAACATGGCTGCCCTCTTGTGTAAGGAAGTATTTCTATCAGCTTGGAAGGAATACCACTTGGCTTTATAAGATATTCTAGACATTGGGAAGCATTCAGTATGCATGAAAATACATCCTGCAGTAGGAGAAATATAGGTCAGTTTGTTGATGTTTGGTGAAAGCCCTAATTGGTGCTCTCTCAGTTGACAGTTGGCAATTTGAACTGCATGTTCAAGAATGTCCTTATGTATCTTAATCGAAGGCACAAGCCTTCAGGATTTACCCAAATCTGATGTATTGGAAATGTTTCTTGGTGGTCGAATATGCATTTCCCTGATTACTAATGAGGTTGAGCCTCTTTTAATGGTTTTATTGGTTATTTGGGGTTTCTGACCTCTTTATTCCAATTGGGCAGTTCCCAACTGGGTGTTTGGATGTATTCTTATTGATTTGAGTGTTCTTTGTATTTCAGATACTATTTCTTTACAATCATATGCATTGTATGTGGGTCCTTCTATTTCATGATTTGACATTTACACATGCTTTTTTTTTTTTTTTTTTTTTAAAGAGACGGGGCCTTACTATGTTGCCTGGGCTGGTCTCAAACTCCTGGGCTCAAGCAATCCTCCTGTCTCAGCCTCCCAAGTAGCTGGGACAAACAGGCACAAAATGCATAGAAATTTTCTTTTTTCTTTTTTTTCTTTAAATAAGTTTACTCATGGGCTGAGTTCCCATCTACGTGCAGATCTGTTTCCAGATTTTAAGATTCGTTAATACTTATCTATCAGTACCATGTCTCTTTAATTATTATAGCTTTGTAATATGACTTGGTATTTAGGAGAACAACCTTCTTATTCTAAGTTTTCGTAATTATTCTTGGCTAGTTACTCTTGCATACTAATTTTGGAGCTAGCTTGTTAATTTTCATGAATTCTGATAGGGTTTTGATTAAAATTGCTATATGTTATAGATCAATTTAAAGATAACTGCTTTTTTTTAAATAATATTGGACTTCCCATTAATAAACTAAGTACGTCTCTTTATTTACATGCCTTTTTGTGCCTTTTAATACAATTTTATAACTTATTTGTAAATATTTATAACTACACAGCCCATAGTTTTTCCATTATAAACATTATATATTTAAAACTATTTTTCTAATTTGTAATTACTAGTATATGAACCTATCACTGATTTCTGTATATTGAAAATTGCATCCAACACACTGCTGAATGCTCTTTGAGATCAAATTGTTTGTGATCTTGGACTATCTATGGATGCTCTTGGACTTTTTGCATAGACAGTAATACAATTTGTGAAAAGTTTCCTTTCTAATCTCCATACTTAATGCTTTCTGTTTTATTATACTACTGACATATCGTTAAATAGAAGCAATGAGATTAGGCAACCATGTCTCATTCCTGATTTAAAGAAAGTGCTTCTAATAATTACATGTTAAGTATGTTTGCTTAAGGACTTTTTTGTTCTCATAAAATATAAAGAATATAAAATTTACCATTTTAACCATTTTAAAATGTATAATTCAGGGGCATTAAGTACATTCACACAATCATCACTATTACTCATTTCCAGAATTGCTGTAGATTTCTGGTAGTTAACTATGAGGTTAAAGAAAACTTACGTAAGAGTTTTTGTTGCCATTGTTATTGTTTGAAACCTAAATGGACGTTGAATTTTATAAAGAAAATTCTACATCCGTTACAAAAATAATTTTCTTTAATTTGTTAACATGTTATACTGATATTTTTAAATTTAAAAATCATGAAATATATATATATATAATAATTTTGGAATTAGCTTATTAGTTTCTATGAATTCTGATAGGGTTTTTGATAGGTATGATATATGTATTGTATAGACATATCATATGTATGTATTGTTTATATTATTTCATGATGATATCTATAGTCAGGTATATTTCATGAATTTATTTTCATGAAAAAAATATATAATACATATGGCATATTATATAATACATATACATAAAATATGTAGTATATATTACATATGTGTAGTATGTACATATTAATAATATACAGATTATCTAATGTGAAAATATACTTGCTTTTTCGGGATGGACCTTCATTGTCATGAATGGGCTGGGTGCAGTGGCTCATGCCTGTAATCCCAGCACTTTGGGAGGCCTAGGTGGGCAGATCACCTGAAGTCAGGAGTTCAAGACCAGCCTGGCCAACATGGTGAAACCCCGCCTCTACCGAAAATACAAAAATTAGCCGGGTGTGGTAGTGGGTGCCTGTAATCCCAGCTAGTTGGGAGGGTGAGGCAGGAGAATTGCATGAACCTGGGAGGTGGAAGTTGCAGTGAACCAAGATCTTGTCACTGCGCTCCAGCCTAGGTGACAGAGCTAGACTACATATCAAAAAAATAAAAATAAAAATATATCACACATATTGCTGAATTCAATTTACTTACACTGTGAACTTTTTGTTTTCATGCTTAAAAGGGAGCATGGTGATACTTTTTCTTCCTTGCCCTGTCATTTGGCTTTCCTATTAAGGTCATTTTATTGCCACAAAATTACTTATAGTTTCCCTCTTTCTGTAATATCTGCAGCATTTTATATAAGATGGAATCCGTACCTGTTTCTTGAAGGTTTGGTAAAACTTTTAAAACTGTCAGTGACTGGTGGGATTTGTATGCGTCTGTTTTCTTGCATGTGTATGATATGTGTTTTAAAATGTCCTAATATTTGGGAGTTGAGGCCATCCTTTTTATTATTGAAGTCTAATTAAATAGCCTGGTAATCTGTATAACACATCTATTTTAGTATTTGTGGAAACTTGCTTTGTATTTCCAGCCCTTGCCCACATGTTTTGGAAAGCAAGTTACATTCTCTAGTAGCTGAGTACAGGAATCAATATGTGTCGATTGGACAAAGTATACAAATTGTGTTTCAAACCTACCCTTATTTTCAGTCTATTTTAGATGTCAGTTAATCTCTCACCAGGATTATGGACATTTTGTGCCGTTCAATTGATTTTGCTTTCTATATTTTGACGTTATGTTACCATGGACATCCCTGTTTCTGGTTATTAGAGCTGCCTGAGAAATCATTCCTGTTATCACTATGTAATAACCCTCTTTGTACATGAAAGTGCTTCATGCCCTAATGTCTATTTGGTTTGCTAGTAGCAGAGGTACATTAACTCTATTTTGGTAATAGTTGCTGGACATATTTTACCCTTTTCTCCAGTTTCAACCCTTTTTTGTCATTTTGCACTAGGATTTTGTTTTATAAACAGAATATAGCTGGGTTTGAAGTTTTTATTATTTCTATTATCTGATAGTTTAATCTTTTAAAATTTATGGTTTGGACTCTTTCTAAGTTTAGAAACTATTAGTTTAGAAACTATTTCTAAGTTTTGGACTATTAATAAGTTTGGACTATTTCTACCATCATTTTATATGCTTTCTATTTCTCATGTTTTTCTTTGCTCCTTCCTTCCTTCTATTCCCTTCCTTTTTCCTTCTTTCCTTCCTTCCCTCCTTCCTGCCCTCCCTTCTTCCTTCCTTCCCTCTTTCCTTCCTCTCTTTTTTCTTTCTTCTTTTCTTCCTTTCTTTCTCTTCTATTGGATTGATTGGGTTTTCTCTATTCCTTTTATTTCTTACTCTATATAAAGTACACATTATTCCTTTGGTAGTTACCCTTTGCCTTTTTAACATGTTTCAATTGATGATGATCTCCTCCATCCTCCAAAACTAATGGAAACTTAGAACTTTTTAGCGTGCATTACCTCCCAACTCTTTCATATAATATTTTCTAACATTTTAGTTCTGTGTTTTTGACCCATGAAATAATTATTTCTGCTATTGCTGCCTATAGTAAATAACATGTGTACCTGAATTTTTAGTTATAGTCACTCTTTGATTTTAAAAATCATTGCTTTTTGTTTTATAGTACTTTAGAAGTTTTTTCAAGAATTATCTGAGATTGATAAATTATCTCATTCTTTGTTTAAAATGCCTAATTTAGTATGTGCTCTACAGTGATGATTCATCTCCAGAACATCAAAATTAAAATATTTGGAGATATTTCATTGTCTTCTCACTTTTAGCCTTGTACCTTTGTAGGTAGTCTGACCTCTCCCCCTTCTCTGATGGCTTTTACAGTGTTCAGTCTCTCCTGGATGTTCTGAGGTTTCATTGCAGTGATTCCAGGTATAAATTCATTCCCGTTTTGTATGTGCTTTCTTCCAGATAATTTCCTTAAACCCATATTCCAGTTCACTACTTTTCTTTTGATCCTGTCTCGTCTGCTGCTTAAACAATCTACTGAGCTTTTTAATATGGATAACTTTCTTTTTATTTCTAGAAGTTTCATTTGCTTATCTTAAAAATGTATGTTTTCTTTTATACAGTCTTATTCTTAGGTTCTCTGTACCAAATTATAAAAACATTTTAAGATTGTTCTAATAGTTTAAATTTTAGGAGTATCAATCCTCTTTTTCCTTCCATGTGCATTTTTCCATGTTAGATTATTGGCTCGTGTATTTTGTCATTTTTAACTGTGAATTGATCTTTACTATTAAATATTATTTCTCTGGGAACAGAATAGAGTTTGAGTTTCTCTTCATGATATATTTGCGTTTTGGCTTGTATCGCGTATCCTATTAGTAACGAGTGCCTGGGAATAATTGTTATGTAAGTTTTTTTGCATTTAGGAATTTCTGTACCATATAATTACAGTACATATTTTTCCTAAGCAGCATGTAGTTTAGGCTTGAAGTTTGATTTCTCAGGGCAATATTGTTTTTCCTATTCAGAGCCTCAGAGAGTGCCAGATTATCCATTTTTTACACTTAGCAATAAATGTTCAAGTTGGCTTTTAGTGTCTTCTCTTGGAAGATCTTATGTATCTAAACATGTTTGTTTTGCTTTA